GATACTGCTGTTTGCAGGACAGCGAGTGCTGACACGCAGCGATGGCAGCAGGAGCCTGCCTTGGAGCCCCTGGAATGCGTGAGCTGTTCCTTGGCCCACAGAGGTGTGGGCTGGGGAGATAGTGCAGGAATGTGCAGTCTATAACTTGGGAGATGATTGCCCTTTTCAGTCCAGCTTGAACTGGTAAATGGGGCTTATCCTGAGGGATTGTCCTGCTCTTCCACCTTGTTGATTTTCTTGGTAAAAGGGCTTTTCCTGAGTGGTTCAATGCATTGGGCATCAGCTTGAGAGTTCTTGTCCTGAGCTGTTGAAATGAGCAGCAGATGCTGGGAACTCCCCTGAAGCAACACAGTTGGTATTAAGGGTCTCTCTTACATATCTAATGTAGGTACAGAGCTGTATGGGGGATTTGTAGATCAGAATTCCAAGGAGCTCATAGTTAATAATGATTTTTGGGAAAAGGGAGGGAAGGGAGAGAGAAGCAAAGTAATGTCCTTGGACCTCCAGATGCCTTGTGCTTTATAGCAGTAAAGGTATCAAAAATGGTGTCATTCTTTAACTGTCCCTCCTCCACAGGAAAATTCATGTTGAAAAACCACTTGAATGCAAACACCAGTGTCCTCCCATACTGGGGAGGATGTGGTTTGAGTAGCCCTCAGGCCTGAATGTGATTTCAATTGAGCATGTAATTTTTGGGTTGCCCAGTGGAGGGAGGAGGACTCTGTCCTTCTGTCTCATGTTTGCACGCAGCTTTATCAGGTGCTTGGCCAAGCTACCTGAGCCTGTGGAGGACCAGCTCTGAGATGCTCTAGTGCTGAGTTAGAGTTTTATCAGCTCTGTGACTGCTCCAGCATAGCCATGACAAGCAAGAGCAGCTGAGTTGGTGGTATTTTAGCAGCTTTTCCTTTTCACACCCCACTGGGCAGCACAATGCTAATGGAGTGGAAAATACAGGTTTCTGTATGCACAGCCCATGCCTGTGGGTAGGCTGAGCCCTACCAGGTCTTTGGAAACTGGACTGTGATTCTGCTCCATGCACACGTCTGTGAGTTGACATTTTGTCTGTGGGTTGTGTTAGTAGCTTGCTGTAAGGGTGAGTGGGGAAGGAGGGGTGATCCTGTGGAGGAACAATGGCTTGAAAATCTAGTATAACCCTGTCTGGCTTACTTTATTTCTGCAAAATCGCTAAATCTATCCTCTAGAGAGAAATAAGTCTATGATATTTATCTTTGGGAGATCCTGCCTCCTAGAGCTGTGCCTGTAGCGTTGTATAGAGGATTTGGGGCAGTGGTTAGAGCGGGTGAGGTCAGTGTGTGGTTGTTTGCAGAGCACTGGGCGGTAGCCCCTGGACGCTGCAGCGTGTGCTGGTGTGAGATGCAGCTCCGTGGGGAGGTGCAGCACACGTGGCACCGGCAGAAAGTTTGTGTGCCTATAACGGGGACAGGTTCCCGGCTCTGCGGGGCTGAGCGAGTGAGGTGAAGGGAGTGCCAGAGTGGGCACTGCTGCGGGGTTTCCTTGCTCTGTCTGTGTGAGGATATGGTGGTGCCCTCTCATGGATGGTGCCTGTGGGAACTGGCCTTAGGATGGTCCAGTCAGCTGCTTCCTACGGGATGGGGGGGACTAAGTGGATGCTTAACACCTCCTGCAGCGCTGTCCCTCAGGAGTCACCTTGGGCAGGAACACTTCATTACCCAGCAAATCGATTGAGCCTTTAATATTTCTATTTAAGCATTTAATATTCCATTTAAGGAGCAGCCACTGTAGTGAACTCAGTGCTGTGACACGAGGTGCAGCACTGCACAAGGCACAGCATCCCTGTCACAGTTCATCAGGCTACAGCTGCTGGTCCCATTTGTGAGAGTGACACACCTTTTTTCCATTAATAAATTTCCCTTCTTTCCCACCATCTCTTATCTCACATTGTCTTCTGGTAGTGTTAAAAATTGCACAAATCCTAAATGAATGCACAGTGCTTTTGGACCTCTTGGGATGAGGTGCTGCGTGGCAAACAAAGTGTTAATCCCTTTGGTTGATTTTTTTTTTGGTTGGGTTTTGAATAATTGCCTCAAATCTCGCTCTGGACTGCAGGACTCCTTGGGTTGACCTCCAAGGGAGCGATTTGCAGCCCGTGCCTTCCCTCTGGCACGGCGATGCCCGTGGGGCGGGATGGGCTTGGTGCCACCGCCGCTCTCCCCTGCCCTCCCCGGGGACCTTCTGCTGCCGGTGTTGGACCCTTTAAACGGGCGCAATTTCCTATTCCAGCAGAGCTTCAGTGACCTGTGGTTGCTGATGGGATTGGATCCGGAAACAGCAACGGAGAGGGACGCAAATGGGGAAAACCTTCCCTGTGTCGTGGCTGCGAGCTCGGAGGGAGCGGCTGGGGCGCAGGGAAGGGAAGACAGAACCTGGGGCCGAGCAAGCACAAGGAGAGGTCCTTTTCCATCGGGAAACCGGTGTGTGAGCGCCTGTCCTGCCCTGGCTTGCGCCTTTCCTGCCCCGCCGGGTTGGGGTGGTGCCTTCGTGCAGCTGCTTCGGTATCAGTTGTAAAGTTGGAGTTTAGTTTGAGTAACCGAGTGATTCCTCTCCAGCCTTTTCTCCTCCCTCCGCTTCCCGTTCCTCGGCTCTGCCTTGTTTGCTCAAGTCAGGAAGGGGGAGGGTATGGGGGAAGTTAATCATTCATCTTAACTCCTTCGCAGCCATGGGGCTGAGTGCTCCTGGTATTCCCAGACCAATCTTCCGCAGACTTGTAAAAGTAAACGGGTACGTGTAGCCGGGCTCACTCTGTGCCCTTAGCAAAGGGCAGTGGGTTTCTGTCCGATGGATCATCCAGCGCAGCGCCGAGCCAAGCAGGGCAATTTTGAGGCGAGATAGTCCCAGCTGCCTGTCCTGCAGTAAGGGCTGGAGGGTGGAAAAATGGTTTGGGTCCCCTCTGCAGGGCCGGAGGAGGCCAACACCCTCACGGGATTTTCACTTCCTGGTGGAGTTTGATTTGCCTTTGTCATTGGAGGGGAGAAACAAAAACCACTCCTTCTCGACCAGCACTTCTCTTGGAGGTTGTGTGCATGAAACTTCCAGTCATAGGACCTGCCTGACTGTAGGAATTGCAGCTCATCGGCAGTTCCCTGGAGGTATGTGCCTTTCACTCTGGAATCCACCAGCTGTTCTTTTGCTTAAAAAGAAGATTCAGTTCATTTTTCCCCAGCTGCAGAGTGCTTATATCCTGTCAGAGAATCTGCTTCTGGGGTATTTTGGCCCCTCTAGGAGGATGCGTGTGATTTAAATGATTTGGAACATATTTTTAACTAAATGAAAGGTGTATAGAATTAATTTAACACAGTATTTAATTTGCTAATGGCTGTATTCTGTTCTCTGAGTGCAGGACCGCTTTTTTTTTTTTGTGAAGCTTTGGGTTTTGGTAGAGGGAATATAAAAGCAGCACCTTCCTCATCTTCTAATGCTGTAATACTGTCCTCTTTTAATGTATTTTCTTGAAGGCTTGCTAAGTGCATTGGCTGCTGTGTCTGCTGTGCTCAGGAGGTGGTTCAGGGCTGGCAGGTGCTGCCCTGGGAGCTGTGGGCAGCCATTAGGGCGAGCAGTTGCTCGGTTGCTATTCTGGTGCCACCAGATAATTCCAGGTCCTTGTGACCCCAGCGGGGGACACTGCGGGATGGCCACGCTCAGGGTGAGCCCTCACACCCCAAACCTGAGTGTGGGTACCTGCTGTGTGCAGGAGAAAGATCCTGCTGAGACTAAAGACAGCTGGGGCTGCTCAGGGGGATCCAGGGGTTTCAGGGAGCCTCCCCTCCTAATTCTGCTGAAGTTGTGTTATTTTCTGGCTGAATTCCACATCTCCAAAGGGACCTGCCAGGTATGTCCTGATGCTCCTACAGTCGAGAGTGCCGGTGTCCCTGGTGAACCCACTGGTCTCTAACAGCCTTCACGAGGTGTGTCCAAGTGCTGCTGCCCCAGCAGAGAGCTGGGAATGCAGCCAGGGAGGCTTTCTTTAGAAAGTGAGCACAGCACAGACCTGCAGGCGCTCACTGGAGTTCCCCCTCCAGGGACTGCAGTGGGTTCTGCAGGGTGGGCTCACAGGTCAGAAGGTCCAACAGGTTGGGATTTACCTGTGAGTCACCGCAGAGGAGGGCAGGGTTGGGAATGGGCAGGGGATAGTTTGCACGGGGAAGTGTGGAAAACTGGGAATGCCTTTTTTTATGCCTTGTCTCTGAGGGAGAGCGTTTTTCAGCTTTAATTTTTCTGAGAGGTGCTAACTGTGTGACGTGGGTCCTCTCCCTGGCATGAGTGACAGTGTTTTAGCTGGTGGAAGTTTTCCTGCTCTTCAGGAATTTGTGAGCAGTCTCCACCCAGCTAGTTGAGAATTGTTTCCAGGAGAAGAAATGGCGTTTACCTGGCAGCCTCTGGAAACTAGGTAACTGTTTGTATGATGTACTGAGAGGGACTTTCATTAGGAAAATGGAAGCATGTACTTCTGCTGCACCAGTGGACTGATCTGAACGTCGTGCTTCTTCCACTACCTTTTACTCTGGAGAAAACACCTCCTGAGATCTTGTTTCCTGCAGAAAGCAGTGCCTGCGGCCACAGTAAATGACTCCGTGATGATGTGGGGCCTGTAATTAGTCTGTGTCAATATCCTGTTGCGAGTAGATCTCCGGGCAGGTTTTGCCTGGCTTGCTCTTCTGCAGGGGGCAGTGAGACTATGGATCCCTGTTGTTGGGTGGTTTTCCAGTTAAGACAAAAATCTGGGACTGACACAGCTGTTCTGGCTGCTTTGTTACATCTTGGTGGGTTTTTTGTAGTAGAAGTTTGATTAACTCATTCATTTCTCGGCAGCAGTAATGTTTTTCAGGGCATTTATTAGATTACTCTAGTTGGAAAGTCTTCCCAAAAACCTTCCAATACAGATACTTTGAATGAGAGAAAGGAGACAAAGCTGTAGTCCAGGCTTTTACCATTTTGATTTTTCTTTTTTTGCTTTCCTGCAGACGCCTTACTGGCAGACCTGGAATCCACCACCTCACATATCTCCAAGCGACCAGTGTTTCTCACAGAGGAAACACCTTACTCCTATCCAACTGGAAACCACACGTACCAGGAGATTGCTGTGCCCCCTCCAGTGCCCCCACCACCTTCCAATGAGGCCCTGAATGGAACTGTGATCGACCCCTTAGACCAGTGGCAACCCAACACACCCAGATACAGCCACCAGCAAGTAAGTGGATGTGGGAGGGTGCAATGCTTGGTTTGAGGGTGCAGTATCTCTCAAGAAAGTAAAGAGGAGGAATAGGAAGAAGTGACGATGAGTTGGCTATGAACAGAGGAGGAAAATGGGGAGAGGTGTGGGGTTTTATTAGAACTAACTGGCTGGAGCAAATGGCAGAAAAGAATTTGAAACCCATCGTCATTGTTTGACAAAATGGTGGCGTGATGAGATTAGTGTTAGTCATCTGCCTTGTAGCCTGTGGGAAGCAGACTGGGGGTTTCCAGCACAGAGCTGCGACTCATAGGCAAGTCTGAAGTAAGTGGAGAACAGTTGTTCCTGGTGTAGCTCATCTGATAAAGGCTGGCTTGACTAAAGAGCAGATTTTTTAGAAGTTCTGCCGGGCTTTGTTCTGCCCTATCCGTGTGTGGGTTTGCAATGCAGTAAGGTACATATTTGCTTTGTATTCTCTGTTTCCAATGCAAATCTCATTTCCACAGCCTCAGTCCCAGTCTCCTATATACAGCTCTAGTACCAAAAGCTCCAGTGCCTCGGTTCCTAAAGACGGGCTCAGCTCTCCTTCTCCCCGTGCCAGTGAAGAGGAACACGTCTACAGGTATCTTGTCCCTGTTAAGAGATAAGCCTGACTCACAACTTGAGCCTGCTGTGGCTCAAGCTGCCTTCTATAAGTGGAAACAAGCACTGCTCCCCGTGTGTGTTAGGTTGCCTTGTGTCAGTTTTGATTACCTCTTTTGTAACAGGCCACCTTAACTTTCATACTCACTTCAAATGCTGACCTGGCCCTTTGACTTGCTCAGCTGCAAGAGGTTAAGGATCCATCAGACAGCAGGATCTGGATTGTGTTGTGAAGGATATGATCCAGACACAAGTGACAAATCCATCCCCTGTTAAGCAGCACAAAAGTTCTTTGGGAGATGGGTGGCCTTTGGGTCAGTTAAACCAGGGAACTCAGTACCTGTGCAGTGACTTGAATTTTCAGGTAAATTTGAACCTCTTACAATTTCTGTCTCAGTAGGTGATTGATAGATAACAAGTTTATACTCACAAAGGCAGCTGCTCTTACTCTGAGAGGTTGGAGGAGTCTCCTGTGTAGTGGGACAGACCTTTCTGCTGACATGGAGATGAGTGAGGAAGAGGCTGTCAGAACTTCATCCTGGACACCTTTTTACAGTGTGCAGACTGGTGTTTCTTCGGTGTCATGTTCTAACCATGCCGGCTCTTTCTGCTGAGCAGGAAGTTGCTTCCAACCAGAACTAACTCTGGGTAGAGGCAGGCCTAGCCAGGGATGGCCCAATGGAGGCAGTAATTGTAGTTTTTTCAGATGACTGCATGCAATTAGCACGAAATGGAGGTAATTACAGCCATAAGTCCTCCTGTGCAAGGGTCTGGCATGGCTTGGTTCTGTTGTGAATTGTAGCTGGTGTGTGGGTTTGGGATGAAGTATGTTCTCCTCAGATTGCAGTTGTGGATTTTTCAGTCTGAAGAGAAGGATAACAAGTGCCCTTATGGAATTGATAATTGTCACTGGTGTTACAGGTGTCAGAGTCCTTAAACCTGTTAGATGTTAACTTTCTGAGCATAATGTGGTCCTGTGAATAAGGCAGAAGTTCCCATTTTCGATTTGGAAAGTATCTTTTTGATAAAATAAGAACCTCTACAGCATTAGAAATTGTTCCTTCATTTGTAAAATGAGGAGAAAAAAATTTCCCTGCCATGGACGATGGGAGGAAGAGTGTTACTACAGTGCAATTACTATAAAAATCACTGCATTGGTGCTAAATTTTGCTTTGAAACACTTTGCAGTTCTGTGTGGTAAATGATATCACCCATATAAGATCATCTGTAATTGCAGCCAGTGTTTTATACACGCTTGTGTATCTCACACAGTAGAAAATATATCAAATTACTTTCTTATAAATTGATTAGAAGTCCCCAAATTAAAGCTTTGAGGACTTGAGTGTTGCAAGAGGTTATCACATAACCTATTGCTTCTGAGTTTTTGCTGATAGCGTGAGGTTTGTACTTTGCCTCTCTCTCCAGTCTGTGCTAGCCCTGCATTCCCTCACTTCAGGGAGGAGGGTTTTGCTGCTTGGTGTGGTGTCAGCAGAAATAAGTCATTTTCCTGTATGTGAGCTAATGGTTCTGCTGCTGTTCTGTGCATTTCAGATCTGCAGACAGTTAACTCTTTCCTACAGGGCTCAGCAGCTCATAGTCCTAAAATAAGGCCCTGTCCATCAATGTTCCTTTCAATATTTCTTCATGACTGACAACTGGAGATGTGACTAAGGAGTGGCTGTGTTTAGTCATGTCACAAAGCACACATCTTCCTTCCCCCAGAGCTAAAAGCATCAGCCTGAAGAGAGCACAGTACATGTGTAAACTTTGGGAACCTAATATGAGTTTCCCTCCATCCTTCTGCTGTATCTTGACACAGAAGTTTTCACATTTCCCTTTATCTTTAGTTTCCCGAACAAGCAGAAGTCTGCAGAACCATCTCCCACCATGACCAGCTCCTCTCTGGGCAGCAACCTCTCAGAACTGGACAGACTCCTCCTGGAACTGAATGCTGTTCAGCATACACCTGCCAGTGGCTTCCCAGCAGGTGAGGAATAAATAGCAAGACATTTGGTATGATTGGGTACTTTTATTCTCAGAATAGTAGCCTGGTTTTTCCTTCCAACATCCTTCCTGAGGGAGAGCCCTCCAGCCCTTAATCAAAGGTTCCTTTAATATGGGTGAGGCACTCTGCTCAAAGCAAGGCCAACTTCAAAACTGGCTCTAACTAAAGTTTCAAAGCTAGATTAGGTTGCTCAGGCCCTTGCACTGTTAGGTTCTTAATATCCTCAAAGATGGATGTTCCACAAGATTTCTGGACAGTTTGTTGTTCTTGCCTGTGATTACCATGTACGTGTGGAACTGGGGCTCTGAAGGGCTCTTTTCTGCTCCCCTTTCTTCAGATGAAGCTGGCAGAAGCCCATCACTGCCCAGCGTGGCTGGACCTCACTACGTTGTCCCAGAGAACAGCAGCTCTGGGGGAGGGAAGGCTGCACCCCCGACAAAGGAAAAGCCAAAGCGCAACGGTGCCCGTGGGATCGAGGATGTGCGTCCCAGCGTGGAGAGCCTGCTGGATGAGCTGGAGAGCTCCGTGCCAAGTCCAGTGTGAGTAATGTTTTGCTGGTTGCAGGCTTGGATGGGGTGGGACAGGCTCCTGTGGGATTGGTGACTGTAGTGTAGGGGCAGCTGCTGCAGGAGAGCAAGGGATGGAAGATGGGCTTTGTCTAAAGGGTCAGAAATAAAGTGGGCGCATGAAGATGCTGCTGCTGCTCTGTTACCTACTCCTGGATGAAAAAATGCATAAGTCATGGGTGAGAGTGGATTGTTCAAACTCAGCTGACCACAAATGCCCACTGTCTGACAAAATGAGTGTTCAGTCATTGTGTCTTGGTGGTGTGTGTGTGCACGTGAGACTGGGCAGAGAGGCAGGGCCTGCTTGTGTTGGAGAGGCTGGGGGGGAGGGCTGGCTGAGGTGGGCCATGCTGAGGAAACTCCTCATTCTCTGCTTGCTCAGGGGAGCAGTGGGACTTCCAGTCTAGGAGTGCCCTCCCAGGCTTAAACGCACTCTTTTTAAATTTTATTTTATTTTTTTCCCCTCCCAGGCCTGCCATCACTGTGAGCCAGGGTGAGGTGAGCAGCCCCCAGCGGGTCACTGCCAGTCAGCAGCAGACCCGCATATCTGCTTCCTCAGCTACACGAGAACTGGATGAGCTGATGGCATCTCTCTCTGACTTTAAGGTACCCTGTCAGGACACCTTAATACATCTGTCCCTCCCCACCCCTAGTCTCTCTTGCCTGTTAGCCACATCTGCTGACCTTGTTTGGTCTCCAGAATGCCCCCTTTACCTCTCACACTTGCCCTGAGAAACTTCCTGTGGCGTATTTGTGCTTTCTGAGTGCTGCTGTAGGTGTTCTTGACCGCTATAAATTATCATCACTGGCAGGATAAGACAGTTCTGGGATCTGTTTTTCCTTCAGTTCTGCAGTTTGTCTGTTTGCCAGAGATAATGAGCTTTGTTACTGCTCAGTACAGGGTGAATTATTTTGCTGTGCTAAAACTTAATGAGAAGGAGGGGGCATGGGACACCACTCTGCTTACTGACAGAGAACAGGCCCTTCTGTTCTGTGGGATGACCGTCCTCTCTGGAGTGTGTTCACCCTGATGTGCTTTCCCTGAGAAGGATCTTCCAGGCATGTGATGTGAGCGCTGAAGCCTTTGCATCAGAGAGTTGGAGATTTCAAAGGTTTTGTCTTAGAACAAAACCTCTTATTCACCTCAAAATGGGATTAAAGTTTGAACCTCTTGTGGGTGCAGAGGATGGCAGATATTATTCAGAATCTTGTTTGGAAATTAAACTGTTGTATTAGAAAAGAACTGCTATTTCAGTCACAAGTGGCACATAAAAGTCCCATAATAGCATAATTCCAGGAGTAACTTGCCTATGGTCCTCTTGATACATGAGGCACTTGGCACTTGGATAACTTGTTCTTCATTCATATAGGTATGTTATCATTCCTGTACTAGATGATTAACTGTGGAGGTTATTTTCATGAGACTTCATTTACCCATAATCATAGCAAAATGAAAAATATTTTCTACTTTCAGGTTCTTTGCTTGTAGCCTTACTAACTGTTGACTTGAATTTGTTCTGAGAGTGCTGGAAAAAGCAAATATACTAGATATTCTCTTTGTTAGATTTGCCATTCGTACATACACATGCAAATCTGCTTTCTAATCCTAAGAAGGTCCCTAACTTTATGTTTTATCCTCATATGGAAGATTCTGCCAGTAGTTGCTGTTTGTTGTTTGTGCTGAGCTCCATCCCCTCCTAGATGACTTTGGGTGGGGCAGCCAGGGCTGAGATGTTTTGTGAGGAGAGGTAGAGGGGACATTCAGTGACAGCTTTGCTGTTCTCTCTGTGCCATTTGGGTTCCATGGAGGTCGATACAATACCCAGAGCTGTGACCAAGTGTGTGAGTTCAGAACCCAGCAGTGAACACACACGCCCTGAGGGGCTTGGCTTGCCTTGTGCTTGCTGGAATGGAACTCAGTCTGCCGTTTCTGGCACATGCACTTAATTTTGTGAGAATCTGGGAGTTACTCACTGTTTTCTCTAGACTTAGTGTAGTGTGTATTCAGTCAATTGCAAATATTGACACCTTAGTGTTGCCTTTTTTCTCCATATTAGGTCCTAGGGTGTAGTGCAGGGTATCCACAAGCACTTGTTCAGCCTGGTTGAAACACTGCAGTGTTGTGAAGCTGGAGAGAATTCACACTTGTGCTGCTGGCATTCCCTGCCCTGCCCCTTCCATGTGCTCTGGGAGCTGAGCACAGGGGCCTCGTGCCCCTGCTGCTTTTATCAGGGCTCAGAAAACAAGCTCAGGGTGTGGCTGCTGCCACCAGCCTTTGCTCCCAGGTGAGCTCTTGGCAACTGAGAATGACCTTGCCCAGCACAGGTGTTTTCCTGGCAAGATACAAGGAGGGGACATTTTTAAGTGTAGGTGTTCCAATACTTTGCAGTCTTGAATCTCCAGTAAAACCTGTGTGACAGAGACGAGCTGCTTTCTGTAATACTGCCTGCCTTCCTGGCTTGGTTTCTGGTTGACCTCTGAGAGCAAACTGAAATGTAGAAAGATTTTAAGATTTAGGCTTTACAAACACAGCAGTCGTATTTTTGTGAGGCATTGAGATCATCTGTGTCTGAACATTCTTCCTGGAGCACAAATAACATGGTTTCTGTGATCATTTTCCTTTTGTTAATGATGTCATTGATTGTTTTTAAGCTATTTTCCTTTTTTCCTGTCCTCCAGGTTGCTTCATTTTCCCTTCAGTCCTTTTTGTTTGGGTATACCTTCTCTGTTTGTGCCAGCTAGTGGTGTTAGCTTGTCTGTAAAAATGTATTCTGGTCTGTGCCAGTGTCTGAATATAAGGGAGAGAAATGAAGTTTTTCCAAAGGTGAAAGATGAAAGGCTACTGTTCGAGTACCAGCCCTATGTGTGATTGCAGGAAATGGGACAGAAAACCTAAGTATGGTGTGTAATTAGTTGGAGTTGGTTGTTGGTACAACTAGAAGTTGCAGTAGGTGGGCACGAAGGAGTGGAGGACACTGGTGCTTGATTTCCCTGGTACTCCAGAGTAAGAGGTGCAGTTACAGGCTGATACATCACCCTTTTATCATCTTTTGCTCACTTTAATGAGTTGCTCATTCTTTTTGCTTACAGAGTCCATTTGACTTTGGTTATCTAGCTCATCGGTCAGCAGGCACTGAGATCACTTAATGCACTTGTTTTTTCACCCTCTGCCATTTCTGTGTAATGTGATGCCTGCTTACTGCATAGCTGGATGCTGGCAGTTAACTATTCTGTTACTGTTGGGTGCTAACCCATTGCTCTTTATTTTGCAACTAGTATGGTTTTGATATGTTGGAAATACTGACTTCTGAGTGAAATGTTAGTCTTGCCTCGAAAATTACTGACATCATTAGGAAGTCTGGAAGCTGTGAACCACAGCATCAAACCAGGTTACTTATACAGGTGCATCCAGCTTAGGCAGAATACTGGGAAATTACCTCTTTTTTACTGAATGTACTTTTGGTGGGTCTTGCTGTGCTACTCAGGGAGAAGAGCAGTCTGAAATGAATTTTGGTCTCCTATTGCTCTTCCCTTTCTGGGCACTGCTGTTGTGACTTTGCTAATATGTGTGTGTGTGCCAGCTCCTGGCCCTCAGGATGGCAGCAGCTTAGGGCAGCTCAAGGTTATGACTCTTCCATCTACTGACAGGTTTTATGTATGTTGTGGTTAATTTTATCCTTTTATTCATGATAAGCATCTCAGAAAGGTAAGTAGAGACTGAGATACCATACATGAGGCTTAGGAAGTTATGTGCCCTGCTACCTTACAGCGTAAGGATCTGACTGCTTGAGGCTTCTTTGGAAAATATGACTGGGAATCAGAGCGGGTCTGGATAGCTCTTGGATTTGGAAATCCTTTGTGGATACATTTTTAAAACAGAAGGCTCAGCATTGGTCTTAGGTTGACCTGCTGTGTGAGCTTGTCCAAGCCACTGTTCTGATTTTCCCTTTTTAAGGAAAAAGGAGTAATACCAGTTTGTCTCCTAGAGTTTAGCCAGGAACCACTGGAAACGGGGAAAGAAGGACCCATGATCTTTTGTTTTCAAAAGACCCTGTAAGTCAAGGAGAACCAAACCCACTGCATTAGTTGCTCTTCTTAGAGTGTATTTTGGATCAAAATTAATACTGATTTTATTACAATGTCAATGTGGAGACTTTGGCCTTAGGGAAAGATGTTAATCTGCCACCTAAGCAATGCTCACAAGGGCATGGAGTGACTGACAGACTCATATAGATTCAGTGTGTGCCACGTCCAAGGTGAGATTAGTGATGTGAATAGAACAAAGCCCATGTCATCTGCTCTTGCTCTGAATGCCCTGAAGCTTTGTTTTCACTGCCACGAACTCAGCCAACTGGAGCATTTTATAAGTGTATCAAGAAGAAAATGTCATGCTTTGTTCTCTTCATTGATTGAGTTTTTTCAGCTTTGAAATATAAAATTTACATGTCTGTCTGTTAATAAGTTGAAAAAGTGACCTTTCCTCACAGCCCAGACATTCCTGAGTTTGTGTCTGGCTTCCCAGTGGCCGTGACGTGCCCCTGTCACAGCTGCAGGTGAACACGTGAGCTGTCACTCAGGAGGAGGCACAGGAAAAGGATCTTGGTGGCTGCAGAACTCATGTGAAGATCAGTACAAAGTCGTACTGGTTCTGCTCTTTACTATCTCACTTTCTTTCCTTACTCTTGGAAGTAAGGCTCTGAATCAACATGACTTTTTGATTTGGAAGTCGATTGTTAAAATGCTTAATTCTTTGCTTTTTTTTCCCCTTCTCCTTACATCTGTCTTTATCTCTTTCTCTCCTTATTCCTTCTGTCTCCTTTTTGCAGACTAGTTCCACTATGTCTCTGATTTCTGAACCCTCCCTAGAACCAGTTCCCAGCTCAGCAAATGCAGACTCCAGCGACACCTCTCCCAGTTTAGCAGTGCTGCCCCGTTCCAAACACCCTTCTGCAACTCACAGTGGGGACTGGACAGTGCCACCATGTGCCCCCTCAGCAGAACTCTGCGCTGAGGGAGGCAGTGACACTGCAGTGCTGGCTGTTCCAGGGCATCCTGCTGCCCCTCCACCTGTGCCCTGTTTGACACAAGCAGTCCCTGTGCCCCCACCACGCAGCTCTTCTGGTTGTGCTACTCGTGGGGAGCAGGTGACTTCTGCAAGCTTGGCTCAGCTGAGCAGAAAGCCTGACTTTTCTAGAAACTCCTCCCAGGCTCTGCCACCTTCCAGTGTGGAACTTCTCTATAGACCTGCTGATGTGGAGGCACGAGGCCTGGGCTATGATTTGGCAAAAGAGACTGAGAAGAAGGAGCAGAGAACTGACCCCAAAATCTCAAGTGTATCCATTTCAAATGCTTCAAATGGTCAGGGGAAGGGGCAGGTACCCAAAGAGCTTGATCAGCAGGGAGCATTGATGGACAAGTCAGCCCTTTCCTCCCCGGGCAGAAGTGTGGAAACAGCTTTAGATGAGCTGTGGGCCCTGGAGCTGCCTGCATGTGCACCAGAGATACATGCAAAGAATGACAGCGTTTTGGATTCTGTTTATGAACCCTCTGTTGTTGCCCTGGATCGGTGGGATGTCTTCCCAGACACTAAAAACCAGTTGGGCTTT